GTCAGGCTACCTGCCCTCAAAGGCAATGGAGGCCTAAGGAAGTTACAGGGTTACAGTCTAGGCCCCGCACATGTCAAGGGAGGAGCATACAGATAGCAGAGACATCTGCGCCTGGCTAATGCCCACACAGGGTGGCTAGGACAGATCTTTAGCTCTGCTTTTTACTCTCATGCCTCACCGCCACAATGCCCAGCTAGTATTTATTTATCTATTTGTTTAGCAGGCTGGGGTCGGGTTCAAACCCACCAGACTCAGAGCATCTGGCTGGCGCCCTAACCACTGAGCTATGGGCACCCTGAAAAAGAGGTTTATTAATTTGCCGGTGAAGGAGCTAAGGAAATTTCACCCCAAAATATAATTCCTTGGTATAAAAAATATTTTAAGTTAAAAGGTCATTTTTGATCAGAAAGCACTGACCATCACTGAGACTTTGGGAAATCATTCTTGTGGTTTCCCCCCAGGCACATGGTATTTGGAAATAAACCTTTCTCTCATTAATCTACTATAATTGTAAGTTAATCTTTTAGCAAACCTTGGCAGGTTTTGCCGTGATCCCTACACCAACAAATGAAGAAACTGTTAAACGAAGAAACTGTCCTATCTTAAAATAATAACATCCTGCCTCTGAACAAAAATAGAGAGCTTTTTAAAGGGGAGGTTTTCAGCTTCAGTCTATTGCTGTTCAACTATAGTTATGGTTCAGATTCATTCCCTTCTTCAGCAAAGACAGTCTTGTGACCTCTGCCTGGACAATTCCTTTGAGCCATCTCCTGTGCAAAGAAGGATGGATATTCTCCTGCGCCTCCTGACCCCTGGCCTGGGGCAGGGATGCAGATATTCATTCTTAAAAAGGGTGAGGCAGGTTTTAGAGAGGAAACCTTTTTACCCTTTTTTCATTCCTCCTGTTACACCTTTACACTTTCTAGGGTTTACCCCCAGGAATCCTACTAGGTTCTCATGGTTAAGCTCATGGCAGGGATGGGGAACCTGGGGTTTGGGGACACATGTGGCCTTCTGGATCCTTGACTGTGGCCTTTTGACTGAATCCAAATTTTACAGAACAAATCCTTTTATTAAAAGGGGTGCAGCAGAGAAAGATGAGGCTTTTCTTGCCTCCCTTGGTGCTTAAAAAAAATCAGAAGGGCACAGGTTCCCTCCCCACCCCATGTGGGTGGGTCTTGTGTTTCAGGCAGGTGTGTTGGGGGGAAGTAACAATTTTGAAACGCACCCAAGGGAAGCAGCTATTTTAAAATACACCCTGATCATTTTCCATAACAAAGGCCTGCCCTTTAAGGGAAGTTGCTTTATTAGAGCCTTTCCTCATCTTGAGAAAGGGTAGATAATAACAGACTCCTTTAGCATACTTATTTCATGTAAGGGGAAAGAAGAAAGAGAAATACTTCTAGAAGTCCCAGCCCAAGGACTCGGGCCTTCTAAAAAACAGAGATATAAAGATTATAGACTGTTTCCCACACACCTCCCCACTACATCAACAGGGTTCCAGTATAATGACAGTGGTTTATGACTATAAGAGCTGTAAGACCCAGACTCTAAGAAGGAATTGTTAGAGAAACCCAAAACTGGAGAAAAAGGGAAACTGGTGCTTAAATTTAAAAAAAATAAAAAGAAGAAACACAGACTCCAGTGCCAGGAGACCTACCTTACAAGGAATGTTAAAAGAAATTACCCAGAGAAAAGGAAAACTATATGAGTTAGAAATTCACTTCAAGGGCGGCGCCTGTGGCTCAGTGAGTAGGGCGCCAGCCCCATATACCAAGGGTGGCAGATTCAAACCTGGCCCCAGTCAAACTGCAACCAAAAAATAGCCGGACATTGTGGTGGGCACCTATAGTCCCAGCTACTTGGGAGGCTGAGGCAGGAGAATCACCTAAGCCTCAGAGCTGGAGGTTGCTGTGAGCTGTAACGCCACATTACTCTATGGAGGGCGACAATGTGAGACTCTGTCTCTAAAAAAAAACCTTAGTGAAACCAATAACTGGTTCCTTGAAAAGATTAATAAAATCGGTAAGCCTCTAACTAGGCTAAGACAAAAACAAAGAAGCCAAATTATTAATATCAGAAATAAAAACAGCCGTCACTACAGATGACATGAACAGTAAAGCGGTAATAAAGGAATATTTTGTGGGCAGTTGTATGCCCACAAATTAAGGATGAAATTGGCAGTGCCAATCACAATCCCCAAAGCACAATCCTGAGCACAATAATCCCAAATGAAATCTTGAAAGATCAAAAATCTCTTCAGTCTAAAACCCCTAAAATCTAAAATCCTTAATGTCTAAAATTCCCTATATTACAATCCTGAAAGATTTAAATCCCAAATGTTGAAATTCTGAAAATCAAATTCTAGGGAAGGAGTCAGCTCAGTTTTGGTCGCATGCAGGAAGGTCTTATCGTGTTAGTTGCATCATGTTAGGTGGACTATTAATTTCCTATTGCCTTTATTTATTTATTTATTTATTTTTTGAGACAGGAGCCTCAAGCTGTCCCCCTGGGTAGAGTGCCGTAGCATCACAGCTCACAGCAACCTCCAACTCCTGGGCTCAAGCGAGTCTCCTGCCTTAGCCTCCCAAGTAGCTGGGATCACAGGCACCCACCACAACGCCCGGCTATTTTGGTTGTAGCCGTCATTGTTGTTTGGTGGGCCCGGGCTGGATTCGAACCCACCACCTTGGGTGTATATGGCTGGCGCCTTAGCCACTTGAGCCACAGGCGCCGAGCCTCTTATTGCCTTTATTTGGGAATATGAGTAGGTAGGAGGGAGATGCGAGTGGGCGCCAAGTTGGGAAAGGGGGGACTTGTGGACTGAATTTTAGGTGTCGCCTTGATTAGATTAAGGAATTCCTAGGTTAAGGTTTCCTAGAAACCTGGCGAGGCGTTATTCGGGGTGTGTCCTTGAGGGTGTCTCCAGAGGAGAGTAGTGTGTGAGTCTGAGGGCACTGGGTGGGAAGAGCTAGCTGCCCTCAGTGCTGCTGGGCACATCCCATTTGACAGGGGCCCGGAGAGAACAGAGACAGAAGGCAGATTGGCGTCTCTCTGACAGATTGTCCTCTGCTGTCTTGGACACCAGGGTTGCTGACCTTTAGACTCCAGGACTCCTATCAGTGGCCCGCTGGGTCCTGAGGCTTTTAGCCTTGGACTGAGAATTACACCATTAGCTTCCCGGTGCTGAGGCCTTCGGTTGTGGACAGAGCTATACTACGGTGTCCCTGTATGTCCGGCTGGCGGACAGCTTGTCCTGAGACTTCTTAGCCACCACAATCACTTGAGCCAATTCTCCTAAGAAAGGCCCTCTCGTATATCTATATGCTTATCCTATTAGTTCTGAATCTCTGGACAACCTTAACTAACAGAGATGTGGAACTGGGAGAGCTGAATATCATTTCTTCTTACTGTGCTGTTTGCAACCATGGAAAATATATGTGAAATTGTTCCCTCACAAAAAGGCTGTTAATATCCCTGTACACAGGGATGTTTAATGGTGAAAGATAAACGTTTAAAAGCTAATTATTATTGGTGCCGTAAAGGCAGAAAATCACTTCCTTGTGGCTGCCAGACAATAAGCAGACTTTCAACCAGACGGCGCCTACTTGCAAAATCTGTAGATCAGGACGACTCTCCAAGGACAAGGGCGGCAGGTGTTTTTATGATCCTAGACGTGGGGAGGAGAACGAACATAAGAAACCTCCCCTGCCGAATTAATCGTCTCTCCTGTCTCTTCACACGTAACACCAATTTGCTATGCTGTCTTTCATCTTCGCATCACTTCCAATACTGAACGTACAAATTGTGTAAAGACTTCTAGAGAGTTCTAATTTGTTGTGTGCACTTTTGCCTGCAACAAAAACTGGAAATATGAAGTTTGGAGTCCTCTTTGGCACACAGAAGGCAGTTGATGCCGTGGGAGTAGGTGATGCCACCTGAGAAGAACGTGAGACGTGGCAGGGCCCAAGATGGAAGCCGGCAAAGCACCTTCATCTACAAGTCAGAGAACAAGCCGGGGACTCAGTTTGCTGAGTGCCTGCTAACTCCGGTGCTTTGACGTCTTGTCCCACTGAAATTTCACAGCAAATCTGTAAGGCAGATAGTTTGGCCTCTCCTTTCCCTCAGAGTGAAACGGACTCAGAAGTGCAGCGGAACTAGGGGAAATTAGGAAGCGGGACTTTCATCAGGGCAAAAGGTGTTGCTGGTGGATTGAATAGAAGAAATGGGAAAAGAATTGTCTCCCACGTTGAAGCATCAATATTTGACCACAGCTGAGCCATACTGAATTTGATAATTGATTTTTTATTACCTCATATTTGAAAGGGAAAGAAAATCAACACAGTGTAAATAAACCCTTCAGGTTCATGGGTGGGAAGCGAGGGGAGTGTATTCTTTGCCTAAAGTCTTGCGTGGTCAGTATTAAAAATACAGGCAGCATGAAAAGAGGCAAAAGTGGGGCGGCGCCTGTGGCTCAGTGAGTAGGCGCAGGCCCCGTATACTGAGGGTGGAGGGTTCGAACCTGACCCTGGCCTCACTGCAACAATGGGCGTTGTGGCGGGCGCCTGTAGTCCCAGCTGCTGGGGAGGCTGAGGCAAGAGAAGAGCCTAAGCCCAGGAGTTGGAGGTTACTGTGAGCGGTGTGACGCCATGGCATTCTACCAAGGGCGACAATGTGAGACCCTGTCTCTAAAAAAAAAAAAAAAAAGAAAGAAAAGAAAAGAAGCAAAAGTGTTGAAATGTACCCTAACTGTCTGGGATGGTTAGCTGCAGCCGTTTTCTCCCCCACTTCCTCACCACTTCCTCACCTGAAGTTCTTAGATGAAAGAAAGCTGAATAGCCATAGGCCAAAATCTCCCACTAAAAACCCAAGGATGAGAACAAAATTATGAGATTGATTCTTGGAGTTAACTAGTGACAAAGACCTTTTACTGAGAGCAAAAACACAGAAAGAATCTTTTTAGTACAATCCTTTACTTGGATTATATTTTAAACGTAATTTAAAAAATTAGAAGCCAAGAAATATAATAATGTGAAAGCAAGGAGAAACTAAGCTGGATCATTTAGCAAAACTCAGGGACAGGATTAATTTAAAAGAAGTCTTGAAAACTCTTGATTTTCTTCACGCCATCAACTGTAATTAAACGTATCTATCTTATTTCAGTTGCAAAAGAGAGTGAAGTATTCCAATTGAAGACGTTGCTGATTGAGGTGCTTTACTAAGAGGTCTTCACCTGTAAAGAACACACAAAGAACAGCTTATGTCTTCTCAATCTACATTTTTTTATTGTTAATAAATTTCTAATCGTAGAATCATTTTAGATTTATGGAAAAGTCTTGAAGAGAGCACAGAGAGTTCTCACATACCCTGTCTCCAGCTTCCCAGTTGGGTAACATCTTTTTTTTTTTTTTTTTT